GACCAATCACATGTTTCTACTCACAGCAGAGCTTTTTTTCTTTCAGTAGTGTGTGTATAGGAAAGTTGATTAAAACGCTGGATTGCCAATGATGCCTAGAAGTCTAAAAAGTTTGAGATAAGCAAGTGTGACATAAACACCAATTGCACTGATTTCTTTGGGAGCAAATATTCTATAGCTAAATATTCTAAAGCAAGTCTTTTTTATTAGTGAGACACCATGAGGTACAGTTGTAGACTTACAAATTTTTGTGCTTGGGTTTCAATTATACAAGACCAAATACCCATCCCTCCACCAGTGCCCATTTCCCACCACCACGGATCCCAGTATCCCTCCCACCCCCCATCCCACCCTGCCTCTGTGGCAGGGCATTCCCTTTTGTTCGCTCTCTCCTTTTGGGTGTTGTGGTTTGCAAAAGAGGCAATGGGTGATAACCATGTTTGATCTATAGTCTACTTTCAGCATGCTTCTCTTTTTTTAAAATTTTTATTAGTGAAACACATGAGGTACAGTTGTAGACTTACAAATTTTTGTGCTTGGGTTTCAGTTCTACAACGATCAAGTACCTATCCCTCCACCAGTGCCCATTTTCCACCACCACGGGTCCCAGTATCCCTCCCACCCCCCTTTCCCCCCCAATCCCACCCTGTCTCTGTGGCAGGGCATTCCCTTTTGTAGAAAGCAAGTCTTCAGATGAGGAAGTCACTGAGCCTGTAAGATTTAAGGTGTTTTGGTCATCAAGATGGCCCCCCCGCACTATCTGCCTACTAATGGCATTTCTTTGAGCTACCTATGAGCCATTCCCCAAACAGCAGCAGTCCGTCAGGCTTAGCCAGTTGGGGCTGCTGTGTCATGGCCCAAGGGCAGGCCAATTAAGACTCATTATGTCACATCAAGGAAAGAATTCCAAACACTGGGCCCTCCACCAAGAATGCAGCCTCCTCACCCTCCCACTTCAAGCCCTGAGATGTTTTCAGTAAAAATAACCTTAGCTAATCATTACTGTTGGGGAGGATAGAGATAATCTTAGTGAGGTCACAAGGAGCTAAAAAAAAGCCTTTGGAGATCAAAGAGTGAGAGTAAGAAGGGTCAGAGAAACTGAGGATATGATGACGCCATCTTTCATCTTTCTGAGTCTCCTATGGGGCTAGGGTGCTTCGATACTGGAATGTGGGTGCCTGTCCCATAAGTCCTGTAAGTCATGCCTTCTGCTAAATCTATTCCGAGTTCCACACTGATTTTGCTGTCTCGAATAAATTAGTAGTCAGGAGCTAAATAATGCTCAAAACAGAGAAACTCATTATAGCAACAGACTTGTAAAAGGCAGTTTCAGGAAATTGCACAAACTAAGAAGAATAAATATTTTTGGCATGAACTGGACACTTTAGGCAACATCACCTGACACTCCACTTTCTTCCAAATTTCACTTTTCCTCTTCTCTCTCCTTCGCCAGATGAATGTACTACTTCCAGCTGGTCTTAGGAGAAGCCATGGTGTCAAACAAGGACTTGTTAAGAAATACACACCTGTTATAAATGCAAAACTCTCTCAGGGGACATATTGAATTCCATTCCCTGCTTCCTATAAAAAGGTGCAATGAAAAAATGAATTAACTATCAACTACCAGATGTTTCTAGCATCTCTATTAGTCTGGGAGAGATGAAACAATTGCTGCATTGTACAGATGTGTACTTCACATAAACATAAGAATCTAGGATGTGGGAAGAAGTTTCAGCTAAACGTATCTTGAGAATAATTGATCTTTTCTTTTTGGCAATGCTTTATAAAAACAGGAAGAAAGCTATTATTGAACTGACACTTTTTTTCACCAACACAAAGAATAAATGGATACTTAAAAGGGCACATCATATGCATTTTCAGTCTCACTCTGCTTCATTGTACCAATTATAAGTAACTTGATTTTTTTCTGATGATTCTCATACATTCTCATTAGATGATTCAAAACCTAGGTATTACAAATTTCATTCTCCCAGTAATAATAAAAGTTAGAAAACACGGTGTGGTATATGCTGGGGAAAGCACAGAACTTTAAAACTTAAAAACTTTATAAATATTAAGGGAAGGAATCTGAGAGTACAGAGAATAAGGAGCTTGCCTTGCATGGAGCCAATACAGGTTCGATCTCTGGCGCCCCATAAAGGCCCCCTAGGCCCACCAGGAATGATTCCTGTGTACAAAGCCAGAGCAAACTCTGAGCACTGTGGTCCCCATACAACAAAAAATTAGGCAGAGAATCTTAATATCCAAAGAAGGTACACAAATGCTCAACAGGCACAGGAAAAAGATGTTCATCACTACACATTATGGAAATGCAAATCAAAAGGACTGTAAGAATGGCTACCATTCAAAAATAAAAAATTATAAGTGGTGGATAGGATGTGGAGAAAAGATAACTCTTGGACATTGTAAATTGTCCACTGAATTGTACATCACAATCTACAATGTAAAATGTACATTATGCTGGAAACGTAAATCGGTGGCAGCCATCATGAAAAGCACTATAGAAATTCCTCACAAACATGAAAGTAGAAATTCCATGATCTCCCTCTTATGTGGGACATAAAGAAACACAGTAGAGGGGCTAGGGCGATAGCAGGTATGGCGGGTAGGGAATTGGCCTTGCATGCAGCTTACATGGGTTCAATCCCAGGCATCCCATGTGATCCCCCTGAGAACTGCCAGGAGTAATTCCTGAGTGCAGAGCCAGGAGGAACCCAGGAGTACTTTTGGTGTGACCTCCAAAAAAAAGCAAAGAAAGAAACACAGTAAAGAAGTAACAAATGCCCAAAGGACACTGTGACAGGGGGGAGGGAAGTATTCACTTTGGTGGAGGCTGTGGTACTGGATATCTTCATGCGTGAAACCATTAATAGTACTGGAAATCACAAAACCTCAGGTAAACTTTTTCAAAACAAAATTCTAGGTGATTCAGTTATCTCTTTTCTAGGTATTTATGCAAAAATATTAAAATACCTATTGGAAGAGATAATAAGCTCTTGCAATGCTTACTGCAACATTATTTGTGATAACCAAGAGCTAGAAACCTCAGTGCCCACTGACAGATGATTGGGTAAAGAAGATCTCTCCTTCCCCCCCCCTTTCTCTCTCTTTCTCACACACACATACACACATGCACACGCATATGTATACTGGAATACTACTCAGCTACATAATAAAAATAAAACCCTACCATTTACAATAACGTGGATAGACTTAGAGGGTATAATGTTTAGCTGAAATAAGTCAGAGAAAGACAAACAGTGAAAGAGTTCACTGATGGGTATATAGAGAAAACAAAAGGATAAACAAAACAAAAGTAAACTTTCAGACTATAAAAACCATTAGAAGTTTTCAGGACAAAAATGGGTAAGGAAGGTGGGCAAACTGGGGAAAAGGGGTCATTTACAGGGTGAAGGAAAGAACTGAACTTTTGGTGATAAACTTCATACAGTGCATACAGATGCTGTTTTTACTTATGCATACCTGAAACCTAACCAGTGCTATAATGTAATGTTACTTCATTTTTTTAAATATAAAAATTCAAGAGTTTGTGGGTGACTACAGTTTGTGGGTAAAACCAGGATTATTTTGCCAGCTCCTTTTCTTCTGTATGTTTGATTTTTCATAATATTTTTAAATAAAATAATTTTGGGAGGTTGGGTCACACCCAACTATGTTCAGAGATCCAATTAGGGTGGGCCACATTCAAGGCAAACACTTAACCCCCTGTACTATTAGTATCTCTCCAGCCCCCCAAAAACAATTTTTATTCCACAGGTTTATTTCATTGTTGGTAGAAAAACTAAGGAAAATCAGTTGTTGATCATATTTCTTTTTGGTTTGGGGAACACACCCTGTGTTACTCCCACAGCATCACTCAGAAACTACTTGTGCTAAGTGGTGCTCAGAGATCATATGGGATGCTGGGGTTGAACCCGGGTCAGCCACATGTAAGGCAAGTGCCTTACCCATTGTACTATCTCTCCAGCTCCTGATCACATATTTTTATTACTGAATTAAATCCTTCAGATCATTTCATCTAACCCCACTATATATGGACAAAATGAAAATCTCATGAGAAACATATTTCTGGTATAAATAAAATACTAAAACAGTAGGCAGTATACTAGAAATGGCATTACAGACCTGGGAATCATGTAGGGTTATGTGGCAATTGAAATCAGAGATGACAATATATTCACCACATCAGAGGGAAAAAATTCATTTTTGTTGCCAAGAAAGGCATGAAGAGAATGACACACCCAAACATAGAAAACTACATAGTTCAAAACATGTGAATAAATAGAGGGATTCTGGCATTCATATTTTATATTTTTGGTATATCAATTGAGACTATTTTCTACTCTCACAATGAATTTTTGGTAAAATATTAGGTTTCAAAAATAAAATTATGACATTAAAAGGAGAATATAAAACAGAGACTTGATTTTTAAAATAATAATAATATAATGATCACATGTTAACATATTTCAGTCTTTGATATGTCACCAAATCTGTACATAAGGAAACAGAAAAAAAATTCTTGAAATCTGTTCTATGGTTATCAAAAATATTCCTGCCCCAAGTCAGTGTATCTTAAGAGTGCCATGGGTGAATAATAACACATCTTCAAGAGACAGAATATTCTAGAAACACAGAAACATTTCAGATGATAAGACCCAACATTTCAGATGTAAAACCCAGCAAGGATAGATTTCAAGAAAATGACAGTGTTAATCATTACTACATCCCCAGAAAAAAAACTAAATTATAAAAGTAAAATTAAAACAGCATATCACAACAACTGCCACATAAAAGGTTAAGAAACTCTGCAAGTTTACTACTGGGGCACTTGCTCAGTCAGGCCCCGTTATGGCTGTTCCTAGGGGTTGGGGGTGGTTAGGAGTGTCCCAACACTCGTGTCTTTTTGACAGTCCCTGACTTCTGTGTTCTGTGCTTCTTCTTCTCCCCAGACAGACATGTTCGCCAAACCGTTTCGGGTCAAGTCGAAGACAGCAATGAGGGGTTCTGAGATGAGAGATCTCCAGGATGAATTGGTAATGACTTTACCCACTCTGGCCCCCAATGAACTAAATGAACTAATTCCATCAGATGAGGCAGTCATAATTGTGCAGCTGGAGATCCACAAACGAAAGACAGCGACTGTGTTCATGATCCAAGGTAACCCTATCTTATTTAAAGTGGACAAACATCTGTATCCAACTGTGTACACACTGTGGCGCTACCCTCGCCTTCTTCCCACCTTCCTAACATGGCCTATTATTCTAGAAAGACTAGTAAAGGGAGCTGATCTAATGCTGCCAGGAGTAGTGATTCCCCCTGATGGTCTGCCTAGTGTGCAGAAAGAAGACATCTGTGCCATCGCGTTGCTGGAGAACAGAGCCCCCGTTGCTGTCGGGATTGCTCTCATGTGCACATCCAAAATGCTAAGTACCCGATTACAGGGAAGGGGTTTTTCTATACTCCACACCTACCAAGACTTTCTGTGGCAGTATGGACAGAAGACCACCCCACCCCTTATCCTGGCACCAACACTGACTTCCCCTGATCACAGTGAAGTTGACTCTATAGATTTTGAACCAGTCCTGGAAGAGAATATAAACTACCTGACTCTGGAAGATGATGATGACGTGGAAGAGCCATACGTTGCAGAGCCCTCTAAGCCAAAGTTCCTGGCAGAAACCACAGATCTCAATGAACGCAGAAACCTTCAACGACAGATGGACAAACTCTTGAAGTACTGCTTCTTTCAAGCCCTAAGGTACTCAGTCAAAAAGAAGGACCTACCGCTGCTTGCCAGCAGTCTCTTAGGCAACCATATGTTTTCCTGCTGTCCGGAGGGACAGCAGATAGACATAAAGAAAACAAGTTTCAAAAAGATGTCTGCTTTCTTGCATCAAATGCAGGAAGAAAATGTATTAGAGGTGAGAGAGCTAAACCAAGGAGTTGAAAGCATCGTGGCGATTAATTGGAAACATCCCAAGATTCTACCTTACATCAAAGAGGAGGCCACTTCTACCTCCCAGTCCATGAATAAGGGCAGCAGTCGTCACTCACACAAGGCCCCAGACATAAGATATCTCTACTACGCCCCAGCCAGCATGAACCTACTCTTCCAGGAGTGTGGCCACAAGAGGGGAAGTCCTTTAGATGCCAGTGAGATCCGAAATGTCATCATTGACTATGCCAAGAGAAATCACCTATTTGAAACAAATGAGGGGAACTCTGTGAATCTGGATGCAGTCCTGAGTGATTGCATTTTAGGGAAAAATGAAAAAACCAAGATCAAGAAACTTTCTTTGGATAATCTCCTGAGTCGATGTTTTGAAAAAATGCAGCCCGCTTATCAAATAACATTCCCGGGACAGGAACCCATAGTGAAGAAGGGGGAAATCAGTCCCATCAGCATCACTTTAGCGAAGAGGGCCCTAAATAAGAAGGTAACTATAGTCCGGAACCTGGAAGCATACGGTCTCAACCCGCGCTCAGTGGCATCAATCCTCCGGCAGCGATGTCACGCTAGTGCCAGTGTCATTCGAGTCCCTGGGACCCAAAACACTCTACAGCTGCAGATTCAAGGGAATCAGATTCCGCAGCTTCATCAGCTACTGCTACAAGAGTATCACCTCCCTCAAAAGAGTGTGGAAAGTAGGGCAAGGTCCCCCAGAATGGGAAGGAAGTGACAGACCCGCCCTCTTGCAGGTCTGTAGAAATGTGCTCTGTGCAGCAATCTCTGTGAGCATTTCAGTTCTAAAAGTAAAAAAAAGAAGAAATCCTTCCCCCAGATGAGATTTTATTCTCATTTAAACCACAATAAAAATGAATAAAATTTCCTACTAGGAGTTTTATTACTTTGGTTAACTTCTTGAATATGTTAAAGGGGGATATTTTATTATTTGAAAGAAATAAATATCCAAAGCGATAAAAAAATACCCTCTAAATTTAATACTTATTCCCAATGAAAAATCTTGGACTCCAGAAATATATGACAATTTCCATAACATGATAATCAACATCTCTGTTAGAAAAACTGTCCAATACTTGACTGTTTGCCTAAAATGCATTCTCATGGAAAGTAATAGCAATTCAGGATGCCCAATACCAATTTTCTGAAATTTTCTTAGAAGCTGTAGTCAACATATTAAGACATAAAAGAAAGAAAAGAATTCACTGCTATTCTCATACCAGGGAAATTCTTACATTTGACTCTTTTTGTCTACCTGAAAAATGTGAAAACTAACCAAACCAGCATATAAATAACAGTATGGCAAAATACCCTGATAGAAAAAATAGAAACAGGGTTGGAGAGATAGTACAGGTGTCAGCATTTGCCTGCATGTGGCTGATCCCACCGAATCTCCCCCACTCAGCACCTTCTTTGGTCCCCTAAGCATAGCCAGAACTAAGCCTGAGCACCACTGGGTATGACCCAAAGCTAACAAAAACCTAAAGAAAGAAAGAAATAGGTCTATATTATTCCACATACACCAAGTTAAAAAATAGCAAGGTTTAAAATGTAGTTTCAATATGTGAAAAAAAAAACAAGATTTAATCCAGGACTTTAGGAAAAGTATAGAAAAGATTAAAATTTTTTGTAAGACATAGAGACAAAAAAGCACTATGTTCTCCTGGATGCAAAAACTAATAGGTAAGATGTGTGATCTTCCCAAAGAGTAAGCTAAATACATTTTCCAAGAAAATCCCACGAGAACATTTGAAGAGGAATCTTTAAAGTGATTCAAAATGGTATCAGAAAGATAAATGAAGGTAATCAAAATTTTAATTTAAATAGAAAAGAATTGAGAAAGTGTGAGAAAGTATACTTGATATAAATTCTATACATGGGAGCCAGAGACATGACATAGTGGGTAAGGCACTTGCCTTGCACGCGGCAGACCTGGGTTCCATCCCGGAACACTACACATGGTCACCTGAGCCCACCAACAGGGATCCCTGAGCAGTGTTCCAGGATTAATCCCTGAGAATCCCTAGATGTGGAACCAAAAAATGTATTTACATATGCAAAATTATGGGAGAAAAGACTATCAAAATTCTTGTGTAAATTTATTATATATTGTACCATGTCAGTTTGTGATTAAAAGCACAAAAGGAAAGTCATCAAATTGTATAAAAGCACAAAGGTTTATCTTCATGATGATATATATTCCAAAGAAAACTACAGAAAATCTAAAGTTTTTATTTGTGGGCCACATCCAGCAGTGCTCGGGACTTATTCCTGGCTCAATGCTCAGGGATCATTACTGACAGTCCTCAGGGGACCTTGTGAGGAGCTGGGGATCAAACCTGGGTCTGTGGCATGAAACACAAGCACCCTGCCCACTATACGCTCTGCTCCATAAAGATATAAGTACAGAAAACTTCCCACTATAGTAGCGTCAAGGTTATATTACAACAAACACATGTAAATGCTGGAAAAACAGAGAGAGAGATGGGCAAATACAAGAGAGTCTCTCACTTCTCTTGTGGAAAATAGAGATAAAACAAGGGAACATAAGCATCGAGCCATGATAAACAATTAGCCTTGGATTACAAAACTCACATAAGTAAGCAGAGGTGAAGGGAGAGATGAAAGGAAGGAAGACCTAGTCTAGAGATGACACATGGTCAGCAGTGGGGGATTGTGGCCATTTTGGTTGTGATGCGGTAACTTTGCACATCGATACCATAAACTTTAACTCTATTCTAACCATGTTACCTGAACTAGAACATAAAAATTCTCATGAGATGCTTGGCACATACAAAATTAAAATATACAGTAAAAGTTGAAAGGGGCAAGGGAGAGAGGGAGGGAGAGAGGGAAGGAGGGAGAGAGGGAAGGAGGGAGAGAGGGAAGGAGGGAGGAAGGGAGAGAGGGAGAGAGGGAGAGAGGAAGAGAGGGAGGGAGGGAGGAAGGGAGGGAGGGAGAGAGAGGGGGAGGGAGGGAGGAAGGGAAGGAGGCAGAAAGGGAGGGAGGGATGGAGGGAGAAGGGCAATGCTCAGGTACCAGGAGGAAAGAAACCAAAAACCAGAAGAGTAAATAGACCGAAATTATAATGGTAGGAGATGGAATGGGCCTTATTATAAGTGGGGTCTGTTCTACCTTGCCATGTAGGTGGTCTGCACATGAATTTATAGGAAACTATACTGTGGCAATACCAGTCTGGGAAACTAAATATAAACTTCATTTTTGGAATGTCACACAGCAATTTTTTTACTTTTTGAATGCTCAGGGATTCCTCGTGGCTCTGCACTCAGGAATTACTCCTGGTCGTGCTTGGGGGACTATATGGGATGCTGAGTATTGAACTCAGGTCAGCCGCATGCAAGGCAAATGCCCTACCCACTGGACTATTGCTCTGGCCCCACACAGCAAGTTTTAAGGCAAAGAAAAACCAAATCCACACCTAGATATCTAAGGACACTACCCAGTCCCAAAGACTGCTCAAAAGTGCTTGGAAAAACAGAGTAGGGGGTGAGCGGGAAGGGTCTTGCGGAGAGTGAAAAAGGGACAGCCACTCTCTGGGAGTAGGTGTGGTGTGATAACACTGTGGGGTGTGATGGCCCTCAAATAGAAACATCTACACTCCTGTAAACCATTTGGACTAAACAAAGCAGTTTAGACTAAAGCTAATAAACAAACATTAATGCAATGCTTTTAAAAGCAGTGAGGATGAAAAGACAGGTTACAGATAACAGACAAACAAGGTCAGACCTCTAGTAGATTTTTCAGAAGTCAAAGGCAGGTGATGGCTTGATATCTTCAGTGTGCTGAGGATTAACTATCACCCTAATACTCAATATGCAGAAGAAAATATTCAAAGTGTGTGTGGGGGGAGGGGTGCCAGCTAATCTGTAATGACAACAAATAGATCAGTGGTTGCTTGGGGATCCTGGGAATATATCCCAGAGAGGCAAAAAAGTATAGTCAAAGTGACATCTGCACTTGTTTGTTCATTGCAGCACTCTTTACAATAGCCAGAATCTGGGAAAAACCTGAGTGCCCGAGAACCGATGACTGGTTAAAGAAACTCTGGCACATTTACACAATGGAGTACTATGTAGCTGTTAGAAAAGATGAAGTCATGAAATTTACATACAAGTGGTACTACATGGAAAGTATCATATTAAGCAAAATAAGTCAGAAAGAGAGGGATAGACACAGAAAGATTGCATTCATCTGGGGAACATAAAGTAACAAAATGGGAGACTAACACCCAGGAGTGGCTGAGATTAGCATCAGGAATTTTGCTCCACGACTTGGAGGCTAGCCACATGTGCTAGGGGAAAAGGAAGCTCAGATAAAGAAGGGAGCACCAAATAAAGGGTGCTGGGAGGATCCTCCCAGGGTGGGAGAAGCATGCTGAAAGTAGACTATAGACCAAACATGATTGCCACTCAATGCCTGTTTTGCAAACCACAGGACCCAAAAGGAGAGAGAGAGAGAACAAAAGGGAATGCCCTGCTACAGAGGCAGGGTGGGATGGGGGAACGGGGGGTGGGAGGGATGCTGGGACCCGTGGTGGTGGAGGATGGGCACTGGTGGAGGGATGGGTACTTGATCATTGCATAACTGAAACCCAAGCACAAAAATTTGTAAGTCTAAAACTGTACCTCATGGTGTTTCACTAATAAAATAAAATAGAGAGATGAATAGACATGGAGAGTATCATACTAAGTGAAATGAGTCAGAAAGAGAGGGACAGATATAGAAGGACTGCACTCGTTTGTGGAGTATAAAACAACATAACACAAGACTGACTACTAAGGATAGTAGAAATACGGGACAGGAAGATTGCTCCATAGCTGGAAGCCTGCCTCATGAGCGGGTGGGGGGCTGCGGAGAAGGCAGCTGGAATAGAGAAGGGATCACTAAGAAAATGAGGGTTGAGGAATCGGTCGGGATGGGAGATGTGTGCTGAAAGTAGATAAAGGACCAAACGTGATAACCTCTCAGTGTCTGTATTGCAAACCATAATGTCCAAAAGTAGAGAGAGAGTATGGGGAATATTGTCTGCCATGGAGGCAGGGGGAGGGTGGGGAAGTGGGGGTATACTGGGGAGATTGGTAGTGGGGAATGTGCACTGGTGGAAGGATGGGTATTTGATCATTGTGTGACTGTAACTCAAACATGAAAGCTTGTAACTATCTCACGGTGATTCAATAAAATTGAAAAAAGAAAAAAGAAAAAAAAAGAAATAGAGAGGAACTGAAAAGGGGCTTAAAGGGGACACAAAATCAACTACAGATGGTTGAATCAAGAGGTTGTGATACAGATACACAATGTAATATGATGCTGATCAAAGAAAGAACAGAGTCATGAGATTTGCAGCAACATGGGTAGAACTAGAGAGGACAATGCTGAGTGAAGTCAGTCAGAAGGAAGGGGACAGATACAGAATGATCTTTCAAATATGTAAAGTAAAAAAGTAAAGGCCCTTCCGTTGATCATCAATTTGCTCGAGCAGGCCCAGTAACGTCTCCATTGGAGACTTTGTTGTTACTGTGTCTGGCATATCGAATACTCTCAGTAACTTGCCTGGCTCTCCGAGAGGGGCGGAGGAATCGAACTCGGGTCGGCCATGTTGGCTGCGTGCAAGGCAAACGCCCTTAATAATAAACAGCAATAGAATAACAAAAGTCCAAAGGCG